AAGGAGGTCTTCTTTAACCCTTAATCCAAAAAAAATTAGTACAACTGTCTTTCTCATTTTGCCCGGTTGCGCTTCTAAGAAGAAAACCTGTAGTACAAAATCCATACTGTATTGTAGTATGTCTATGCCCGTATTGTTTTCTTACGGTCAAATTGGGTCTAAATTAAACCATTCTGCGTGTCACATAAGTCAGTGTAAACTTAATATACCCTGCACCACAAGTCTAATGCACATAATGCAAGGATGGGTAAAAAGGAGACAAGAAGAGGCAGTGGTATTAGAACACACAGATTATCTTTATTCAAACGCTAAGCTTATTGAAGGTTAAATGATACATTATTACAAATTAAAACATCGGAAGCATATGTGAATAAAAGCAAACTCAAAAGCAAGCGAGTCTCTAAAAACTTTGTTCTCAGAGTGAATGCAACCTTATAAATTCCTCATTAAATTTGAAAAGAAAACGAAGATATTCGTTGAAGCATACATCGATTGAAATTTCTATTTAAAGCAGCGGTAATAAATTTTCAATTTTTTCTTTTTTCAAAAATGAAAAATAAAATCTCATAAGTAGATTAAAAAAAGGATTCCGTCATAAAATTTTTCTATTTCAAATAATTCAAGTTCAGCTCTTATTCTCACTTCCCTATTACGCGTGTAACATGTCAGTTCATAGAAAAAGAAATGAAATAAGAACACAGCACATGGCCTATAAACTAAGGCCATATGTAAAACACATTTCAAGCAAAACATTTTTCCTCATTTTCCGGCTAAACTGCTGTACAAAATATGCAGAAGAAAAACAAATTCCCGGCAATTGTCTGGTTTACAAATTTATACATATGTTACGTTGAGAATGCTTAACAAATTTCCTCCCTCAAGTGATTTGTTTTCCTTGAGAATTTATTTTTAGTTTGTACTTTTAATTCGAGAACAAAATTTTACAAAAAACAAAAAAAGAAATCAAAAGCAAAAACAAAAATCAATAGAATTATTTAAGAGAAAGTGCTAATTAGTAAGGCGGGAAAAGTTTTCTTCACGCGTAAAATAAACGCTTTGATGATGAGAAGATTTCAAAAATATGCCACAATTTATGCCTTACTATGCTTTAGCTAAACTTTCCCCCTTTATTGAAGTATTGTCTAAGCACAGAATTCTTGCGAAGTTTATATATAGAAGTCACAGCCAAACTTTTTTTTCACATAAATAAAAAATTGGAGCAATTTTTTTGTAACTTTTCTCTCATTTTTAATTTGTACGTTAATTAATTAATGAATACTTCGCATAGATATTTTATGGTATGGTTATCTTCTAACGTACGAAGCTTATTTATTTAAAAAAAAAAAAAGACAAATAAAAATACTAGTAGTAGATCACAGCCAACTCTACATCATCGTACCGCCATTCATATAACAACTTTTTTTTTTTTTTGATTTGTTTGGAAATGGATTGGACCAGTTAAGTTAATGTTTGATCCATAATCCACAAACGTAGTTGAAAGCGATTGATGAAAACTTTGAGCATAGATAGAGACTGATGTGGCAGAGTGTTCGCTATGAGAAGCTCTGTTCCGCTGTCAACCCATAAATCAACGACTTTTCAAAAAAAAAAACACGTTATACGGAAAATGATCGAAAAAGTAGCCTGATCCGAACTATTGCCAATAGAGTTCGTCCTTGGGGCGAAACACATCGGTGTACAAAATTTTACTAAGATATCTTTTGCAGCCTGAGCTTGAACAGATGGGCAGATGGGCAGACGAACAGATGCACTTAGATCGAAAAAGTGGTTCTACCTTCTGGATGCTGGATACATTCGCACATAGTTAATATACGCTTGTAACAAAAGTGCTTTAGAAGACTGTTATAAATCATTTCCGATAATATCAAAGGTAAAAATTTGTTAATACAGAAAAGTTCGGCTATCTGTGATAAAACTCATTGACGTGTACGCCGCTATTTTCCATAGCGTAATGGAGATGTTTGAACTTGTTCGGGAGCTGAATTGAAACTCATCGATTTGTTAAATCTGGCATCTTCAGGCCATCTCGGAATTCAACAAAATTGGCGTTCTATGAAATTGTTTTTATTCAACTTAAATTAAATTTTTACCCACTAAACGCCAGCTATTTTATGTTAAATAATATAAATATGTGTATATATCTATGTATCTGTACAATCTGTACAATCTGGGAAACATTATATAATCCTTGTAAATTTCTTTCTAGCACGCGTGGTTAGAGGCGTGCAATTTTGGTTAAACCAACACCATCAAGTGAATAATAAGCCGGAATATTAAGCAAGAAACTGTTTTAAACCACTTACGTAATGTTGGCTCGGCATTTGCGTACAACGCAAATTAATGGAAAAATTGAAACAGATCGAATTACGTTAGAATTGACATCACGATAATTAATGCTTTGTTTTTTTGTGAGATGGGAAGAAAGGCATGACCTACCCACCTAACACTTGTTTCGCTCTCTGCGCAACCCTCTTAATGAAGTAAAGCTAATTTCAAAAGAGGCCTGTGGAAATTACTTCGTTCATTGCTCTATTGAAATCTCAAAAATTCTCAAGTCGTAGACATTGTTGTTTTACCAAAAACCATGGCAAAAGATTATCGCTCAAAATATACTTAAAATATTATTTTAATAATTAAAACTATTAACAATATAACCAAGATGTGCTTAAACTTTGATGAAGAAAACCGCTCGAACGTTACTCTTTACCTAACACATTCCAAAAACTAATACTATGGTCCTCCACAACTTTAAACAAATAAATGGATAAAAATCATTGCTTTGTAGATGACGGTCAAATTTTAAATTGATACCTGCTTTGGCCGGGTAGCTAGTGAAGCAAATTGAGAAAGTTCTACTCCTCTTGAGGCGAGCCTTGAATTCTCATTGCCTTAACGTTTGCAAGCGTACTAACCACTTATAATTGTCGCAAATTGCCGTTAGACGTACGATTCAGATTTTATATAATATAAGCACATTTTATTAAAGCAGTAGTGCTCCATGCTGAGCATATTTAAACGTCAAGTGATTTAAAGCAAATGTGAAGATTTAAGGTTAAAAAATCGGATGTAATTTCTCTTTTCAAAACATCTTTAAATGCGCTCCTCTAATACATACTTATCTGACTAATGATCTATTTTGCATATTTTTGGCAAATTCATATATTAAACCGAATTTTGGATACTCTGCCCAGATTATTATTTATGAGTTTAAAAAAGGTAAACTTCACTTGGAGACGATTTCAAAAGATTTCTTTTTGGCTTTATACACATCTCTCATCTAAAGATTCTTTACCGATTAAATATTCTCAATAATATCTATTTTAAAAAAAAATTTTCAATAAAATATAATAAGTAACATTTTGTAAAAAAAAAGAAAAAAAAAGATGAATAAATGTTTATAAAAATTCTCTGCTCAAAAAAAAAAAAAAAAAAAAAAAAAAACACAAAAAAGTAAAAATACTAATGTTTTTCTTATTGCTTTCACAACATGTTGAAAGGATGAAATAGACGAAAAATTGGAATTATGCCAATATTTTTTCCGAATAAACGAAAATATAAACGGCTTGAGAGAGATATAATATTTTTGCTCTTTGATTTGTAACGCATGATTTTAAATGACTCACAGAATCCAACGCCATAAATTAGAGATTATACGAAAGGGATAGATTAAAAAGTATATACGCATCAGAGTCGGCATAAGCATAAAATATTTTTCATGGCGGGCTTAACTTTTAATTATGTCGCGCCTATTCGCCATTTTTGTCGGCAGCTGGAAGCGAAAAGAAATTGAATAGCATATGAATCACCGTAGAGTCAACGTGGAAATCTGCTTTCGTCTTTACACTAATCTTGGACACCAAGCACTTGGAATTAACACATAAAGGTTTTTGAATGTTGCGTTCATAAAAATTGCGCCACTTGCCTTATTGGAATCATTTTTACATTAACTTTTATATGGCCCTGGAAAGTTTATATCTGTTTAGATCAGCCTCCACTGAAAGCAAATATTGTTTCTAAACTTGATTTGTGGTCATCAAATAAAAGTAATTATGCCGAATATAAGTGCTTCAGCAACAGATGATAAACAAATCACTGGACAGAGAACTGACGTGAATAAATCGATCCACATTATTACTGTGATGAAGAATTTACATCCTTAATGAGAGGTCTGCTACGCACATATCATGCTTGTAAGGAAACAAGTCTATTAGGATTTACAAATACCATAAATAAATATGTTTGGCTAGCAAGAAAAAGAAGAAGTGAAGAGCAGTAAAAGATTTAACTAGCCACTAACGGCCTTGAAGCTTTTGCCTTTACAAGGCGCAGTAAATGATGTGAGCAGAAATGCTTCTGGACCTTTGAAGAAGAACAAACTTCATTCTATTTTGCATAAACCAGTTCTAAACCACTGTCAAAATTATAGTTTTAAAAACAGCGCTTACAGTATGCTGCTCGTTTTAAATTTAAAGTCATCTCTCACATCGCCTATAAATAAAACCTTTTAATAATCCTACGCGATGATACACCAAGATAAACCAATCTCTACTACTGGCTGACCAGTACACATTGACCGAGAGATACATTCGCTAGGCGGAGTACTTTTCAAAGTGCCCCTATTTATAACTTGTGCGCGTACAAATTTCACTTCGTTATCTTATTGATAAGTTCTAGGCAATCAACGTAAGTTTTAGATCATCGCTTTGACCATTAGAAAACTAATCTTCGAGACTGATTTATTGAAGTAAACCTATAGTAGTACTACGTCTTCTGTATGATTTAAACAGTAAAGCTTTAACTCTTGATGGCCTGAACAAGTTAAGCTGGCTTCACTTTGCGAGCCGCTTTCACATTCACATTAATTTATTTAATCGTACATTTTTAGAGTTTAGATGAACTGCGATCACTTTAACGGCATATAGAAACGCACGTGTTGATCGAAAAGTTTCCTTGCAAGAAATGCTAAAGGCGAACCTTACCAAGATAGTTTGAATCCTTAGTCAGGTAATCCTTTTCAAAAATCGCGAGCAATACCACAACCATTACTGTCCTGAAATCGATGATTTACGTATGGTAATGTAAGTTTTTCATGAAAAACTTTTTAAGTTTTTTTCAGCACTAAAAAGTTCTTTAACACTTTGACAGGAATTATTAATCATAACAATTAAACAATTGTGGCCAAAGAACAGTTATTCAAAGCATTCTTTATTTGTTCCGAAATATGTGTTTTTTTTTTTTATTATTTATGTATAATATTTATTTATTTAATAATAGTATGAATAATTTTGACAGCAAAAAAATTTACATAATGACGTCATTCTGCATTTTGTTATGTATATAAACACATATAGGCAGGCAGAAAATTAACTGTACTTGAAAAGTCTCGTGTATTATACAATTCATGTGATAATTATTTAGTTGATTGATTGATGCTTTAAAAATCTTAAATGTTACAAAGTCGTTAACTGAGACAGTCCTGTTGAAATTCGAACAAAAGAAAAACGTTTCGTTTTTTTTTTGAAAATTTCTTATGCGATTCGTTTAATTCGTTGATTAAGAAAATTTTTGTAATTTTTTTCTTTCTAAATTCTTTTATACTAAATTAAACTAAATTTAAAAAAATTCTCAAATAAATTTCAATTTTTATTATTATTAATTTAATGCGAGATCTTTCGTTTCGGTCGGACACCGATTGACTAACTTTTCGATTAAAGCTTCCCAAAGCTTTTAGCAAAAAAAGCGAAAAAAAGAAAAAAGAAAAAATAAAACATTAAGTAAAAAACCACCCAATGATTTGTGGACAGTTATCATTAGTCAGAGCAAGCAAAGCAACAATAATCGCTCATAGAAAAGAAAATAAAATGCAAAACGAAAGCTAGCGAGGGAAAGAGAATTATAATGAATTGAGACCGAATCTTTAACACCTACTAACGCATTAGTATTAACAAAAACAACAAAAAAAACATTACATGCCTCAACTTTCCATTATATTTCTATTATTATAAAATCTCTTCTTTTCTTTTTTTTTTCTTTTGAAGTTCTAATATTAAAAATGCCCTGAGGCCGATCTTCTTAATGAGCGAGAAAATGAGCTTATGATCTGAACATTTTTCTTTCAAATAGGAATATGATTCAGTGCATCGCAGCAATTCAGTGGTTTGATTGGCCATCTTTCGATTAGCCTAAGTTTTGCAAATTCTTCTAATCGAACTAATTTGCATATTAGAATTGAAAGCAACTTTATAGAATATGCTGAAGAAAATAATTCGATGGCAGACCGAAAAGTATGTAAAAGCATGCTAGGCAAGAAAATGCTAGCCTTCTGAGCAAAAATATCAAGAAATGTCTAATCTCCGGGGTATTTATCAAAATATTACAACACTTCGTGTACTGCATTCCGGTTATTGATGTTCCCCAAAAAAATTCTTAATTGAAGATCAATCGATCAGATTAGTCGCTTGAAAGACCCAGACTCCATCTCAGCAGTTACCGGAACCAGAACTATCTTCTCTACTCAATGACTACTTTAATAAACAAATTTTTTCCATATGAGCTCTAGAAAATCCATCAAATTTATTCTAAGAATAACATCAATTCAAATTGTATGTAACAATTAGGCTCCCCAAAGCAATCATCTTATTGAATTATAATATTTCAAGGAAAGCACGAGGCAAATGGTGCCAATCCTGAGACATGTGATGCGATGTTAGTACATTTTTTTTCGCCCAAGATGTTATGACTAAATTCACATAAACGAATTTTTAAAGCCATATCAATGACAATGTATATACAGACTTCCCAATTAACATTTGAATCAAGTTTTATTGAGGGAATTGCAATCATCAAATAACAGATTGTAAGTATGTGTCGGCCGGTAAAAAGGTATTGGTATTCTTAGAAATAGCATTGAACGAAGTGGATAAGTGTTTTCCATATGTAGCTTTTCAACTTGAAAAAATGTGCATTTCAACTTATGTTATCCTGTAATACATATATACACATAAAGTCATAATTTCATAACGGAAAACGTAAAGCTTCGTTGCAAATTCTCGGAGTCAGAATATTTGTATGCCAAAATTTTAGATTTAGACAAGTTGTAAGATTGTAAGGTGCTCGCAGTTTCCTTTGATTGCTTTCGCTAGAAATGTCAGGCCTTCGATATTTGGATTAATCCGTAACAAAAGAAGTTGGAAAATAATAATCGGCTGCCATCGAATTTTCCTTTCTCCGACTATTTTTATCTAAAATAGAAGCAAGTATATTTCCTGAGCTTCACCAATTTTTTCCATTCTTATACTGGTACTGTAGTAATAGTATCATGACCGCAAATTATACGTAAAAGTTTGCATCGTGTCTGTTGTACACTATAAGCAACAAGTAAAAAACCCAATCAATTTTAGTTTTAAAAGTACTTCAATAGGTCCATTTTCAGTAATAAACCACGCGCAAGAACTTGAAAGTCATGTTTTTCCTGAATTTGTAGCCAATGTCTTACTTTTATACATAGAAATGCCCCACGACACGCAAACACGAATCTGTTTGTAGTATGCATTAAAATACATTCGTTTTTTATACTCTACACCCTATCCACTTGTGTCTGAGTCTGTCTAAAATTTCGTAAAAATTTTATGTGTAAAATTTTGTCAGGCTACTGGTCGCTACTTTTCAGATATTTTGACGACATTTGGTACGTTGACGTGTTTTCCAAACGCGAACGCTATTTAGAATGGCTGGATCCGTCCACTTTTTTGACCACTCCGCATATAACGCCTTATTTTGAAAAGCTGTTAGATGGCAAAAAATTCCATATTTTAAACTTTTTCGACGAAAGTCGATGTGTAACAGTGTTTCGTCATTCTAAATTGGTATGAACAATTTGATGCGGTTGTAACAATTTTTCGAACCTCCTCTTGTATAACCGTTTCTACGAAAACGAAATCTTTATATGGTAAAAATGTCTAATGTTCAATATTTCATGCTAAAAACTGGTCCATCAAAGCAAATTGACAAAGAAATCAACCTTAGCGAATTTGGGCCACGTTGGTCTATCTTTTAGAACCTAACATGTATAGGAGTTACCATGAAAAACAAACCGTTATAAGCAGAGAACATCTAATTTCTGGTTTTTTACGACGGAAGATGAAATATAATAAAATGTTTGGGAAGTAAAGTAGGTCTGCTAAATTTGGACCACGCCATATAATATTTTCGGGGTCCTCCAATTTGCGTAGTTTGCATGAATATAATCTGTAATTTTTAGTGTATTATCAAAATGAGCGAATAACTGTTCTACACGATAAGATGTAGGATATCTGAATGTCGTCTTTGCCCGGCTACAATATTCTGCTTTTTTTTACATTTAGCGATTTTAAGAATGGAAAAATTGATAAATAAGCCGATATTCGTACGCGCAATGACAATCACATCTGAAAGTATGTTATAAACCAAACTTAAGAAATATCCCTAAAAACATATGATTGTACGGAGACAACAACCGCCTCCAAACAAACGCAGAACATCTATTACCTGAAGCGAGACACAAAAATTTGCAAAACATTCATTTAATTGAAGGCGTACTTTAGTCTTGTTAGCTAAAATGACCTTTGAATGATCTACGTTTTACGAGTGTGTGCTTAGGCAGATAACCCCAAATTAAACAAAAAATATTTTGCTTGATTTCTTTTGCAATTGTGCCAAACTCTTAATTTTTTTATTCATTTCAATTTCTCAATAGCATATAATAGAACTTTTAAACTGACCTAGTTGGCTGCAACAGACAGCTTAATCATCGGAACATGTAACTTTGAAGACTAGCATAGTGTTAGTCTCAGTTAGCCCATTTTGCATTGCTCGCAAACAAAACAATAATTATGTGGATGTAATAAGTCTATAGTTTTGTAAGTAAATCAATTCTTCAGACCAACTATTTTTTAATTCTAAGTGTAAGAATAAGTCTAAGATGCAATGCAATATGTGTCCATCTTTTAAGACGTATTCAAAAATGCTTAGGCCGTCTGTCAAGTTTAATTATATTTTTAACCGAAAACGAATAACTTATATTTTCTATACACTTCGAATTTTGTTTTTCCGAAAAAGCAAAAATACAAAATGCAGAGACAAATTAAAACCACAGAACACGGTGGAAGAATCTACAGATTACAGGGAGAGGTTTGCGAAGTTTCTTGAAGGAAATTTAAGTTTCGGGTTAACCACTGTAAGAAAAGAGAAGATTCTTCTATCATCATTTATCAGAATAACAAAAGTCATTTCCTTAACCTATCCTCAACCTGTTTTCGACTTGCATTTCTACTTAAGTAAAACATTATTCATAGAAACGACAGCCGTAGCCATATACTCTATGTATTCCTATTTATTTTCTAATTTAAATTTTACGATCATCATCACACTGGAAGATTCATCAATGCGCACGAAGGCAGGCAGATGCCAATGTCTGAATCATCTCCGCACGTTATGCCTATCATAGAGGTGGAGGGATGTAAGATAAGGCCTTTCTTAGCCAAGGATCGTAATGAAACCAAGAGTAACAATAAGTAGCCAATGAGAAATAAAAGCTTTTGAATTCGCATTGATGACCGTGGAAAATCTGAAGCCTTAGTTAAATTCACATATCGACCACATATTTCGTCTCCCCTTAACACATTTCATCAGTCATAAATGTTTATTTTACCGCTAACCACAAATGTTCAGTTGAACGAAAGAAAGCTTTAATTAACCGCGGGAATTAAGAGTGGAACTTAACTGCTTCTCTTATGTAAGGGAAAATGTAAAAGCAAGAGAATCTAAGAAAAAACAATTTCAACATAGCTTTCTTTGTTTTGTGAAATATTTTCCATGTTTGTGCGAAGAAAACCTAATCTCCTTCTATAAAGTTAATTTTATTTATTTTTAATTCTCTAGCATAAAGACATATTTACCAACGACCATATAAACTGTTGAAAGATATTAAACAATTAATATTAAAGTCCATGCCAATTAAAATACATTTTTAATAAAGAAAAATATTTTTAAAGATTAATAGAAATCTTGCTTTCCTTCTATATAATATTAACCCAAATTTTTTCTAAACTAGATGGCAACGATTTAAGAGCAGCCATAAATCTCTATTAGATTTTTATGCGCTTAAATTTTATAAATAAATTTTTGGCTAAGCAACTTCATCACCCTAACAGGTGATTGGCCGTCTGCGACATAATGACATTTTACGGTCACTAAAAGAAAAACAAAGGGAAAAGCAGAATTAATCGCTGACTGATGTGAGGCATGACATGAAAATATGTAATGGTTTGTATTAAAAGGGAAACGACAATTCCACTAGTCTCAGAGTGAGTCTTCCGCACTCACTTTAAATCACAGGCAATCGAGACGTTATGTGATTACGACTACATTTTTTTGTGATTAGACCTAGATACGAAGTATGCAAAATGATGATAATATTGACCGAAATTATGAAATGATTCAGTCGATTTTGGAAATTGAGCTGACAAACATAAAGAAAAGGTTTTTATGTCAGAGAAAGTCTTGAGTTCTTACTCGTGACTGCACGGACAAGCAATCATAACTTGATAAATTCGTTTCACTAATCCAAAATTTGTACAAGGTATGCTTAATCCTCCACATTACAAATATTTGCGAATTTCAAACTTGCGCTTATACGCCAGACATGTAACAACACATTGAAAAGCAATATATATGAAATTTCCGGATGTTCGCTGTTTAAAACCAAAGCCGCAACAGCCGATTTAATTGTTTTTTAACCCACTACGGACGAATAGAAAAAGAAATATTTGAATTCACACTTTCTATTCCACACAAAGTTGTAAGGAGTAGGTAAGCAGACATAGCTAGATTAATGAATTCGCTCACCATGGCCTGATTTTCTCCACCTAAAACTTAAGTGCGACCTTAAGGCTGGTAAGGACGTAATTTTGCCTTTACCGAACCTTGACACGAAATAATAAAACGTCAATGCCTGTATCGATTCTGATCAGCATTATAAGTATTAATAGCGATTTGCATATTCACAAGCTTAGAAGAGATGTTAAAAGCTTGGTTGTGCTTACTTTTTTCTAATCAGTGCCTTCTCGTCCTTTCGATGGTATAATCTTCGATTTATGAGAAATTTTCGTGACATTAACATAATTATTAAAAGCTGATTGATCAGTTCCAATTATTTCCGAACGACCATCAAAAGCAAACATTTCTCTTAATCAATTTCCTTCGCTACAGTATCGAAACACTCTTCCATTACTTGTAATTGTGGGCAACACTTTAAGTTACTTTTGACAATTTTCATTATATCGTTTCCTTTATGGTGATTAACTTGATTATCGCAAACATTTTGTTCGTTTCGTTTACTTTATTTATATCTAAATTTCCAATTCCAATTATATAGAATTAGATTTAGAAACTATTTTGCGTGAATTTTATTGCACATGTTTTCACTATATTTGAAGAGAAAAATATTTGATTCAGTTTTCGATTTTTCTTACACAAAATTGAATCTGTGCTGGCTTTACGCATTATCAGCGTACACTGACAATCAATGAACTCAAGAAGTTTCATGGATGCTCTAAAATATTTTATATTTTGGTAGCACAGAAACATTTATTTATTTGTATTCGGTTATGCGTACAGTTTGTCTTAGTTGCATTATAAATAAATAAATATACGTATATATATATATATATATGTATATATATATATATCAATGGTTACGTATACGACTTGTTGAGCTCGTTTCATTTGCTTTTTAACACATCGGGCATAACGGCCACAAGTATTTGAACAAAAAATACCAAAAGTTGAATAGTTTAGTTTTCCAAATGTTTTCCAATAAAAAAAAATGAAAAAGAAGATTAATTTTGAATTCTTTTGTATTATAAAACAAGAAAATAAACCATTCCTTTCGATTGTCGCATATTTATTCAATAATATTAAATGAAATATATGTATTTTATTTATATCGTCGTAACGAAAGCCTGGTTACGTGGAGATAAATCTAGTTTACTTAGCTCAAGCAGGGACTTATCGAAATATTTTCAGCAATTTTTTGTACGTGAGCTTACGGCAAATAAGTAAAGCGAAAAAATCCAAAACAATTGAACTTGTGTGATTACAACAGTTTAAAGCCAGGAAGAATCCCTTATTTGACGTGCGGATCGTATATCATATCGTAGGGTTTATCTAAGCAATATATCTGAACTCATAACCCCTTACCTTTTGGCACCGTCTTTTATCAAAATCAAGTCTTAAGATGTACAATTTATGGTCAGCGAAATTTCTTTCCAAACATGTACACAAACAACAAAGTAAGCCAACTTTAATTTTTTTATACGAAAACAAGTAAGTGGCCACCATCATGGAAAATGTATTTGTTTATTAACACGTGTCGCATGTATAAAAATTGCGTCCATCTGAGAGTAAGCGTATAACAATTGCAACCATCTGAGAGTAAGCGTCTATGTTTGTTTACAATTCTCAATAATTGAAAATGTATTTGTCGCAGTTGGTCGCAACTTTTATACATGCGAAAGCTGTGACTAAACAAATACATTTTCAATTATTGAAAATGAGACCATGAGGTCTTTGGCTTTCTGTGCTTTTATTTATTCTCATAAAAAAGGGAATGGAATAAAATATATCTTTCACTTCATTAAAAGCTATTATTAAAAAAATTTAATTTACCATGTCGTGTCGTCCTCCGTAATTAATTTTGTGTCGGCAGACTTAGCTTTTTTCATTCTATTCCTTTTATGTGATACCCATATCAAAATGGTATTGTAACAAAAAACTTAATCCACTACGCCGTGACGGACACCATAATTTATTTAGAAATAACACACTTATCTTGTCGACTTCTACTTTCAGAGTGCTTTTATTTGATACCCATATCGGTGGCAGATAGTAGATCTTCCTTTGAGGAATGTGCAAAATTATTTTAAACATTTTGTCTGAAAAAAATAAAATTTAATTAATTGTAACTTTGTGCGGGCACGGCCGACAATTTTCCATTTTTTATAATCTGTGAGTAACGAGCAAAAAGTTACAAATTTTTGTTTAAAAGAACCGCTCGTTCAGTTTATACTTCTTTTTCATTCATTCTTTCTGGCAACATGACGAAAGAACGATGTTGGTTTGGCAGCGATCCAATCATCGGCCCATTTTTGCACTTCCTCAGCATTTTGAAACCGCTTGCTAGCCAAGCCACCGTGCATCAATCTGAACAAATCGTAATCAGAAGGCGTTGTCTGGTGAGTGCGCGGGTGGCTGATGCGACAGAACTTCCCACTCGAGCTGTGGCCGAGCGTTGTCATGCAAGAGGATGACCTTGTGTCTGTTTTTGGTCTTTTTTGCAACAATAGATTGTTTAATTTATTCAATTAACGTCAATAGACATCCATAGTAACAATTTCATTCAGTTTTATCAGATCGTAATACATTACAACTGATCAAAGCTGATTTCGCTATATACACAGCAAAACGTTATGGCCATGAATATTTCGCTTCGGTGTCTATGCGGATGGGTCTTCTAGCCTAACCCATAATTTTTGCCTTTGACATTGTCATAGTAGACTTAGACTTGTCGCCGATCACAATACACTACAGAAAACTCTCCTTTTATTGCCTCGCAAGAAATGCAACCGTTACGTTGAAACGGTTTCAAATGGCATTTTCAGTCAATTCGTATGGCAGCCATCTGCCCCCTTTAAATCAAACAGCAAAAGTAAAGAATGTTGAAAACACAATTTTGACGGTTCCCTGATTAGCGTCCACACACGCTGAATAACTCAATAATATTAAATGGAAAATTATTATTTGATGTAGAAAAAAGTCGAAATCATCGAACTAAACCATTGTACTTCGCATTACTTTATCTGTTCACCAACAGACGTCGCTGATCAAAATATACGCAAGTTCTTTTTACCTCTAATTACCATTCGTACGCACTTAGAACCTTTTGCTGAGTACTTTTTTCACTTTTCTCTATTCACTTTGCAGAAAATTAAAAGCAAATCAATTGAAAATTTTATCAACTTCATTGAGGAGCAATGAACAAAACGCATGCTGTCACTTCTCGAGAAGAAAATCAGAGATTTTCCTCTAGCATTAAAAATGGTGATTCCTCTTATTGAATCGCAAATGACAGAAAAAATCAGCCGAACACATTTTCGACTTTTTGAAATCATGTTATATTAAAACTGCTTTAAATAATAGCAAATTTTATCATAGCGAAACCGCGTCTTACAACTACCAACGGACATCTGACCTTCTTTTTTTCTTCTCAAAGTTGATTGAAAAATTACTAATCATTTTGATATATTTAATTGAAGTCTTTCGTTATTTTAACTACACTTTAAAACGAACATGAAAATGTATTGCATTATATTAAAATGATTACAAATAAATGAAAAAGTTAATTAAAATCATTATTAATCACATTCATACATTTTAATAAAATACATACTACGTATAGTAAACAAAGCACCACGCAGATCGTACAGTAAATGAAAGAAATTTGAAAACAACTGAAAACGGTATTAAAGGCAATCCATTGATAGCGTAAGTCGAAACAGGCGTGCCGCTTGTAAATCGAGTGTAAACCAGCCATGTATATTAGAAAAGAACATATAAAACAATCACATAAACGACGCGTCAGATATTTCGTCGTTTCTACAAAGACCTATGAAAACTTCAAGAGCCTTTTGCAAGTCCCAACCGGCGTCTTCGAGACATCTGCAATAAATTCAAAAGTCACGTTTTCTTCTTTGTTAAAGTTGAATATAAACGTTTTCAAACAAACCTGGCACACCATACAGATTTCAAATGCGTTAATTCTTGCAACATAATCAACATTGATTCCTTCGTTTTCAAGCTGATTTCGTTTTCATCGTCTGCGATGTTATCATTTGCCAAATATTTAAAAGCAATTTTCGTTTGTGCGGCTGTTGGATTCAGTATGTTTAACTGATCATTTATAATTTTATAGCTCGTGCCCTTATTTAGAGGCCCCTATAATAAGCCACAATATATGCGTTTTAACTTAACGTACCCGTATTCTACTTTAAATTATTATTACCAAAAAATGTTTAACGGGAGTTAACAAGAAAGTGCGTGAGAATGCCATCACAACATCAGTATCGGTAGCATGATCCTTAGCTTGATCTAGATAAACACCATTTATGGTGATAGCTGTTAAGCGATCCTAAAACAAATTAGTGCTACCATTACATAGTGTTTCGAATTCGTTTTTTTTTAAAATGCCCAAAATAACAGGTTGTAATTAGTAACTCTGAACGATTTTTGACAAGAAATTGAAATTTTGCAAAGAGGACGTTTTCAGCGATACTTACGTTATGAATCGTAGTGTCGGTATTAAACGTTAACATATCAAAGGAAACGTCTGGTAAGGACATTATTATTGCCATTATTTCTTCCCGACCGTAGTGAACAGGGCCGTATGCATGCGGTAGATCACGCATTTTCAAAATATTGCGGCTAACATCGCCATACACGCCTATACGAGCACGAGTCTTCTGTGTGGAATTAGCTGAGAGATAATTGCACGTTAAGGTAAGCATCGCGTTGGCGTGATATACATCTGCAAAATTCGAAAGTAACATTCGATAAATACATTGAAAGTTATACGAAAAGTAATGGTACCCTTTAATTTCGCACGATCCTTCACGCATTCAAATGTTTTAAAATATCGTGTTACAAACTCTTGGGTGAGATCATAAGCGGCAACGTCGCATAGATAGTTCTTTTGTGAACTTAAATTACCTTTCGTAGTTATTTCAATGTTGTCCTATAAAGAATTTCTTTATGAATAAAAACTAATCAATAAAAAAAACTCTTCTTTACCAAATTCTCTAAATCTTGAAAAATTTCCTTCACAGCTTCGATATATTCACCAGCAAAACTGTACTTCGAACATAAAGGATTACCATCCAAACGCAGACATTTTAACTTAAATACCGACAATTCATTAACGTCCTTAAGGTGGTGGATCCAATTGTTTCCCAAATCTATAGCTTTCAAATTTCCCATTAGTACTAAAACTTTGGGGACGTTGGCGAACACTATTTTATTGTGAGCTAAACGTAACTCCACAACAGATGAAGCGAACTTCTTGGAAGCCTGCATTAAAATGCGCGACAGAATGTTGATTGAATTTAGATTTATCACAATATTCTGTAGTCCTAGAAAACCAAGTGAAAAGGTAAAAGTTTGTTTAAAATTCTTAAAATTATTATTAGGAAAGTCGTACCTTCAGTGTCTTGAAAATTACTTAAATTTAGCACACGGTCTACGGCATTATATCTTCGATTTAATGCTTTATCAATACATTCCAAAGGATTAACTTGGCCTGTCTTAAAAGGGCTAATATTCATGAGTAGATAGTATACCAACTTAGAGTACATTTCTACTTCGGGTAGCAAATCTGAATCTTCTGTCACTGTTTGCTGCACTATGCGCGGTATTCCGATTTCTAAATTGCAGTACTCAACCAAATGCTTAATTTGATCAAAGCATTGACGCACCAAAAATTGATGTTCTCCTTTATCAAACTTAAAGTTCCAAAAGAGAAAAAATATTCCATTAACTGCACAAGCCGCAAAATATTAACCGAATTACCTTATAATAGCAAGGATAGAAATCACTGAACGTCGGAGATACGGTTATAAAAAAATAATTAAAGATATCATCCTTCGTGTGGTTATGCTCGGGATCAGGTATCTAAGGCATTTAATACAAACATGATTTTCTTTTTACTTATTATCTTCTTTTATATTCTTCAATTTACCATAACTGCGTGCCAATCGTTACTAAATTCAAAATTGTTTATATCAGCTCTATTGGACCAATCAACCCGGTAGCCTTCACTGTCTTTATCACTATTTTTATTTAGCGGCGAATAATCCTTTGAGTAATTTTCAGACGGTATTCCATCCTGCAAAATTGTTTCAAATCCATGATTTCAAAGCCAATACGCAAAGCAGTAAAGATTTGAAAATAAGTCTCACTATTCGTTTGAAGTTTTTTAACACTGGATTTAAACAATCAGGAAACTTGCTTGTGTTGATTACAGGATTTCCGGCTAACATTAATTCATCTGCTTGCAACGGCAATAATTCTCGAGTAATGCGCTCGGGGGAACGCAGCTGGAGACATTAGGAAAATAATTAAGAAAGTAAATTTAAGAAAGGAAGAATTTTCTTGTGTTAAGTGATAATTTCATATCTGTTGTGATAATGGAAGGAGTTGCGGACAGATAGATGTTTTACATTAATTAGGAATCTTACACTGATTGTTAAGACGTAGCAAGATAAGGGGGAGGGAAAAATCAAGAATAGGGTTATGTCTAAGAATAGAAGGCGGATATAACTAACGATTTTCAGTCACAAGTTCATGTAACCCAACACGAAAACTTACGTCTTCGAATCTTTAGCTAACAATTGAATTTATAGTAGTGAAAGATTCAAACCTTCCTGTTTGAAAGATTTTCAGTGCGAAGAGTTCGATGTATAAGAAGCCATCTAAGCTTGTCTTCTTAAACTTGGGCGACTTATTAAAAAAAAATCGCGAGCATGAAAAGAATATGCTAACGTTTAGCAGCACACTTTTATCTCTGTTCCTATTTCTTTAAGACTATTTTACCTTATTATCTCTTAAATCCAGTATAGCGAATTCTACTCCTGTAAATTGTTTTAATGGTGCTAACGTCTTTATACCGTTAGTTTTCATCAGTATCCCGTTAACATTGCGAAATTTCTCATCGTTGGAATAAATCAAGTTACAGATACGCTCCAGAACACCACTATTACCCAAATTTACCACCACATCAGCAAAGTTAGGATTCCTTCCAAACTGTGATAGATTCAATATTCCATCATCGCCATTGTGACGCTCCATAGAGTTGTACAATTGACTTAAAGCTTTTGTTATTTGAGCAATCGGACTTATTTGTCCTTGATGAAAATCTGCCACATTTAACTGCACGAGTATGGAAATGCTGTGGCCATTTGGCAGACGTAAACGCAAATTTTGTGCAAATAATTTATCCAATGCTGGCTGACACTGGCGTACTAAGAAACAGTCTTCTTTAGGACCTCTCTTAAGAACCAAAAGAAAAATAAGTTAGATGAATGTTAACATTATCAAACATTATTTCTTACCCTGTAGGCAATTGGATAGATTTCTTCATTATTTACCGCCTCGAAAAGAGCATCCAATATATCCCGTTTAGCATCGCTTCCACAAATTTTACCGTTATGCTGTACCACAATTTGATGCCAAACAAATCCCTGATTCATTGCTTTCGCGTCATAGCTTCTGCATTTGGTATAAGTATTTGTATTGCTATAATTGATTTCTATACTAGGATGTTCAGGAAAATGTATCACATCATCTGCGAAAAATATCTCGATATTACACTAAAGAAATGCTTTGAATTTTGGGATAGTACTTACGGTATTTTTTTCTTAAAATATTCATTTTGCTTCAAGCTGCTGTTTTTTGCCTTAATAGAATTAGTAAGATTGATGATATATCAACAAATTTAGAGGAGTGATGAGCCGGTTGTTTGGTTAATTTTTTAATGTATAATTCGCTTCTTCTTCACTGTAAATCTATCATCGGTTATACAAAAATAGCAACCTGGCAACGATCGCGACTTTGAAACAAATTAAAATAAAACAATAAACGAACAGGCTTTCCAGAGATATTCTGTCTAGTAAAACTTTCGGGTTTTTTTATTCTTTTTCCGGGATATCACATTCCGGGATAATCACGTAGCTGGAACTGGGCTTTCGCTTTTATATTCAGCCATTTTTGCCAAACAGCTGACAGCAGTCATTACCCTCCTCTTTTATTCCTATTCATAAGTGTTGCACGTTTTTGGATGAAACATCAATATGGATAATCAGCGGTTTTCTTAGTCACTTGTCAGGAAAGAAACAACTATAGCGATTGGTTGTGCCGTTCTGTTTAATCATTTGTATTAACGATGTTTTATTTCTTCATGTTACGGCAATTAAACTACTATTGTCGTTGATTGTTTAACGCTCAGAAGTCCAACAGTGAAATAATCGCGGGGCGACTTCTAAGTTGCAACTACATGGCATTTGTTTGGCATTGTAAATTGGTTAATTGATCGGTGGAAACATCCATCAATTATGATACATCTAGTGCGCCGGTTGAAGTCAGTAATGCTAGAGGCAAGAATCTTTTCGTTTTAGCTGAATGTTCAGAAGAGGTTTTCATTGAAAACATACTAAGGTTTAGTTACGCTTTTTCGATTTGATATCTTCACTGGGGCTACTAGTTTTGTATTTTTAAAAATCCTTTCGATTTAGTCTTTAACAACTCTGTAATACTTTTTTCTTTTATACTCTCTTTTGTTTAATAAATCCTGACGTCATTTGTCATTATTTCGCCAAAAAGCCGCGTGAAGAAAGCTGCCTTGTGAAAAAGTTAATTTAATTTATAATTAACATACAAGTAAAAGAAATTTTTAATAAAAATGGTGAGTAGTTATGGATAATGAAAAATTTCCGAAGCATAAATATAGTGTAAATTTTTTTTATTCTAAAAGCAAAAAAATCCATAAAATTTTCATTAAACAGCTGATGAAAAATTTTAGAAATTACAAAAGTGTCACTAAAATATTGAAATTTTAAGGCAATCTAAAACTAAATGAATGAAAAAGAAGACTTTTACCAACCTTAATTTCTTAGTGAAGCTCTTAGGGAAATATTACAGTGAAATTTTTAAGTACACGAACTTAACCTCAAAAGAAGTTTCTCGTATATTCACCTTATGCATTTAGCCAGTGCAAACATGAATCACTTGTTAATTTTTCGATATTTTAGCAACCACAAATTTTACTACTAAAGGAAGGTACCGATACGTCTCAGGGCAAACCCCAATTGATATCCAACATCAACGCCTGTCAGTCGATAGTGGATGCTGTTCGTACAACTTTGGGCCCTCGTGGTATGGATAAACTTATCGTGGATTCTAATGGTAAAGCTACAATATCCAATGACGGCGCTACTATTATGAAACTATTGGATATTGTGCATCCAGCTGCTAAGACGTTAGTAGATATAGCCAAGTCACAAGACGCTGAGGTAAATTATCTGCTAGGATCTTTAAAGTGGATCTGAAATAAAAATTGTTTCCCTAGGTTGGTGATGGCACCACTTCAGTGGTATTGTTGGCTGGAGAAATCCTCAAACAACTTAAAGGCTACGTAGAAGAAGGTGTTCATCCTCGCATTCTTATTAAAGCAATACGGAAGTCACTGCAATTGTGCATGGAAAAAATAAATGAAATGGCTGTGCATATTGAAAAACAATCGGAAGGTGATCAACAGCGCGCTTTGCTAGAAAAATGTGCTGCCACAGCTTTGTCATCTAAACTGATCCATCAACAGAAAGAGTTCTTTGCCAAGATGGTTGTAGATGCTGTCCTGTCCTTGGATGACTTACTGCCGTTAAATATGATAGGGATTAAAAAAGTTTCTGGTGGCTCTTTGGAGGAATCTCAGTTAGTGGCCGGTGTTGCTTTTAAAAAGACATTTTCGTATGCCGGCTTTGAAATGGCTCCAAAGTCATATAATAATTGCAAAATTGCTTTGCTCAACATTGAATTGGAACTGAAAGCCGAACGGGATAACGCTGAGATACGAGTGGATAATGTGAAAGAATATCAAAAAGTTGTAGATGCTGAATGGCAAATTCTCTACAAAAAATTGAATAAGATACATGAATCCGGAGCAAATGTTGTTCTGTCAAAATTGCCTATCGGTGACGTCGCTACTCAATACTTTGCTGATCGTGATATGTTCTGTGCGGGGCGTGTGCCCGAGGAAGATCTTAAACGGACATTGAAAGCTTGTGGCGGCGCTGTTATGACTACGGCCAATGATATAAACGCTTCAGTTTTAGGACAATGTGAATATTTTGAAGAGCGTCAAATTGGTAGTGAACGTTTCAATATTTTCCAAGGTTGGTGCAAATATAAAAGTTGTTGAAAAGATTTATAATGGTAATGTAATATTCGGCTTAGGTTGCCCAAATGCTAGAACATGTACATTGATTTTGCGTGGTGGCGCCGAGCAATTTTTAGAGGAAACTGAACGATCTCTACACGATGCAATTATGATAGTGCGTCGCACGATTAAACATGATTCAGTTGTAGCTGGTATGTAACTAGTGATTTAATTTAATATTATTTCTCGTTAAGTCTTTAAGTAGCTACACGAGAAATATTGTTGCTGATGTATTACTATAGACTGCGACAAATTTTACTTTTGTTTACATCACATACACACATTAAATATTTAAGTTAATTTTAGTCCTGCTTGTTTCCCCACTTAATGTCTATTGTTAAAATTTTCTAAGCAGAAAAAATTCTGGTGGTGGAACTTGATACTCATGATCTTGGTAAAATCTGATAGATTTAGTTTGAAATAGCAGATTCAGTGAATCTTTTTCCCGCTTCGGCCTCTACTTAGGAAATTGTATTTATTATTCATTAGAGACTACCGCGCAAAGAACACATTTTCAGGTAAAAAAAGTTTTTAGTTTTAAATAGCTAGCTTATTTCAAATTTAGATCCTTGCACGGTGATCCTGTTTTGCTTTTGAAACTAATCGCCGACCATTTAAATCCCTAATGTTATTTCGCGGTAAAATTAAAACATTTCGTAGCTAGACCATGTTTTCTCTGACGAACTTTTGCACTAAACTAATTCAAAAAATTTTAGTAATACTCTTCTTTTAGATGTTTACGTGCTGAAAGGCATTTAATGTAACACCTTTTGCAACCCAATTTTGATATTTTACACCACTTTTGCTAAGAGAGTATATTAGGTTTGCGCGGATGTTTGCAACACCCACAAGGGCTTGAAGTAGGCTAACCTTTTATTATACGGATCACGTTTTGAATCAATCTAAGCTTTTCTGTTCAGCATTGTTTTCGTATGTTTATATTATAAATCGCTATTTTTGAGATATTTTGATCAAACGCAATAACATTGAAAATTTCAATTAATCTAAACCGAAAAACATAGAATTTACAAAACTTTTAAAAACTTTGAAAATAGCTTAGTCTGCAAAAGTCAATGTTACTTTCTGCATATATATTTTTTTTACTATTTCTTGTGAATTATTGTAAAGAATATTAAGTTTACATACATTGTGCATTAGTTATAAACGCGGACATATCGCTGCTGTTATCTTTAGTTGTCAGTGTTCAAAACCAAATAAACAAATAGAATGGCTGGCAAACCGACAGTCATATAATAGCAAAAGAGTTCATGAATAGTACATTGCACTTCTGTGTAGACAACGATAGCGATACACAACGATATTATACATAATTGTGCATAAGAATGTGTACATTTTCTAGAATTCTAGGCAAAACTAATTATGCCAAATGCTTTCTCAAAAACCACAAACAGAAATAGAGGTCTTAGAGAAACTACATTCATCTTAAAACGAATCTTGGCTGCCGGTAATATTATGAAGTATATCAAAATTTCGTGGCGAGAATCGCACTTGCTTGATTGGGGATTATTTAGGATTGGGGGCCTATGTATATTGGCGTTTCATATAGATTTCGCAATTTGATTTTATTGAAATTGCATACATTAAATGCAAGAAATGCAAAAACATCGCTGGGAGAAATCGAACGAAAGCCGTAGATTAGTAGCAATAGAGTACAGGAGTATGGACGTAAAAAATGATGTTTGTGCGCATGAAAATGCAAGTCATGAATGTTGCTTCTTAAAAAACGAAACGATGCATTTAGTCCTGATTCCGGCCGTTAATTTCAAAACCCAATCTTTAAATAAAACAAACAAGATATATATATACCTTATTTCTTGCCTCGGTATGTGCACGGCTTATAATATGTGCGATTAGGCGTTACAATCGAAATGACAAATTTTTTATATTAATACACTTCCGTGATGGGCAAAGAAAAAATAAAGAATGCAAAGAAAAATGAAAACAATTTTCAGTGTTTAGCTACATAGATAGTATTAGATAATTGCTGTTGTTTTACAAAAGATATGTGCAAGATTATGTAAAGGAACAAAGAAAAAAAATTGAAATTATAAAACTGAGAATCGATTTGTATACAAATGCTTTGTTGAAGCTACTTCGCGGATCGTTACGAACTCCTCTCATCTCAACAATAGCGAAGAACATCTTTGCTAAAGACATTAAGAACTTATTAAGTTGTAAAATAATAGGATCATTTAAATTGCCTGGATATAAAAGAAACAGATACCAGTCAACGCCATGTCCGGCAATTGCGATTACATTTACTGTGTCTATTTATCTTTAGGTATGTTGCAATCATTTAATACAAAAATCTCTTATATAGACCGCTCAGAAATACACTCTGGTTGAAAATTAATAAAAAAATATATTTTCCTTATCGGCACAAGATTCAGGATCGATTCTACCGCAGCATGTATTGCAAAAATTAATATAAAAATTGTATCATTTGGTACACATCCTCTTAGTTGATGGCGGGTTTGAAAATTACGAAGAAAATCAGCTGTAAATAAGCAGAAAATTGTTATAACGTACAGCCGTTAAACAACAAGCTTGTTAGAATATCTGAAAGTTCAGTGCGGAAGTAGTTCAGACTAGCTAACTAAGAAGCCTGCGTGTTCCACAAGTTATCAATCACTTTCGAAGGACGAGTGTTTAGTACGTGCCCGTCTAATTATCGGCCCTTCGCTATTGAAATTCGCCTATTTGCTAAAATTTGAAAAAACTTCAAAATCTTGGCAAGTGGATGCTTGAAATGTTTTTGCATGCTTCCTTATTTCCGTTTAATAGAGACGTAACCTTTTACTCGCTATATGAAAAATGGTGCAAAACATTCTTTTTCTTTTTCAATTGAGAATAAATTATTATTATTATTATTATTATTATTATTATTATTAATTTCGCCAGAGAAATAAATTCTAAGACTAAACTCTTAAAAGCAGTAGCATCTAAGGCTATCGGCTTTTATTAAAAACTCTACCGCACTTGAGATTCGAACCCACGACCATTGACTTGCTAGTCGAGAATCCTCGCCTTCGGCTACTCAGACGGATGAGAATAAATTATATATACAAA